GGGTGTTCTTGTGCATATGCCCTCTCTTCTTATCAGCTGGATGCTTCACTCTCCACTCTAGTCCTCTGTGGCTATGTCACTGACTCGGGGCCTAGGAGTCCCCAGATCTTGCCATATTTCTAGCCAACCAGGTCTCCTCCCTATTTCACAGGAGTCTATTGAACGTGATTGGACTTAGCTCACAGCTTCACTGCTGTTTTTCTCTCACTTCCCCTTATTAGTGACCAACGTGGTCACCAGTCAGAGCGCATGTCTGCTCATGCATTCCCATTGAGTCTTAGTCTTGGAATGGGGTTTGCCCTAAGGTGACTCGACCGCTTGCCTTGATGTCTCCTGGGCAAGCATCTTGCTTGTTCTTGTAGTAATCAGTCAGACTGCAGTTATTGTTTTGTATTTTTCTTGTCAGTCTTTCTTTCAAGAAGTATCCTCTATTCTTTTAGCTGCTCCAGGCTGATCTGCTTGTCCTTTCAAGTGGAAATTTCCCATCTCAGAAGATTCTGAATGGGGTTCAGGATTCCACCTATGGTCATATGTAATGTAGAGGCTCCGCAGGAAGCCTTCTTCACTGAGCACATTGTAGCCCCATTTTAGGTATTCCAACCAGTTGTAGGCAGAAGACGGACTTACAAGCTTCCTATGGTAATATTTCTGGTTATTCCTTTCTCTCCCCCTCAAGTGTGTATTTTATAATGATATGCAAGGGAAACCAAGATTCAAAAGACAGCCAAGTGTCTTAACATTATTTCCCCCATTTTGCCCATTCCCACCATGCCTCTATCACTGTATCCCAGGGCCCTGTTGTTCCAAGGTTGTTTATACATCATTATTTACCTCTGTCCCACTTAGCCCATGCAAACCTGCCTAATTGTTCTCCCATCCACCTTGTTCTTCCATTCCCTCCCCCTTCTTGTGTATTGTCCCCCCTTCCCAGCACCCAAACTATCCTGTGTCTGTTTACCACCCTGTGCTCCACCTTCCCCTCCCTCCCCTCATCCCACCCCGCTCATCCTGGTAACCAGCGAAGAATCTTCCGCCCCTCCCTTTTAGTATGGGTTCTTTTTCTTAGTCTTTTACAGTAGTTTTCCTGTGTAGTCTTTCTCCTTTTGTGACTGACTAATTTCACTCAATATAATGTCCTCAAGGTTCAAGGGGTGCTTCTTTTAATAAGTCACTTCTTTGTGCCCAATAATCAAATAGCACAGTAATATTTATGTCTGTAGTCAAATGGAGCCCTGGTATGGTGCTACAGGTTAATGCACTGGACTGTAAGGTCAGTTTGAACCGCAAAGTTTGTGGTTCAGGCTCACCAGCCGCTCCTCAGGAACCCTATACAGGGTCATTATGAGTCAACCGACTCTGTGGTAAGTCCTATTAAATTCTAGCACTAAATTCTCTCTATGCATTCAGTCTTAATTCTTCACCTTTTGTTGTTCACCTGTATATTCATTACCGCACAACTCTTTAGGAGATCACCTCGCCCTTACTGAGTGGAGAGTACTGAGAACTCAGCAGGATCTCCTAGCCTTTGGGGATAAAGGAAGTGATCTTATGTAAAAGTCAACTAGGTATTCAGGTGTGGGGGTATTCTCAGTTGTACAAGACAAACACTTTAGGCAGTTTTTTTCAAGGGAAATCTATGATGCATCTGTCTCCCTTAGCAGACTGGAGTTGTGCCTTCAGCATTCCCACCATACTTGATATCATATCAACAGCTGTTGGCATGTCTGTGTCCTTACTAGACGTCAGCCACTAACATAGGGACCCTAGTCAGTCCCAATCCTTCTGAACCTCTAAGTCACCTAAACCTAGAAGTGACCCACCCTAAATCAGAATCAGTCCACACCATACTGGGAAGTGACAGGAGGGGAACTTCAAATGAGACTGTGGCTGTCCTAAGAGAAGCTGCAAAGAACAATCCAGAAGCAAAAATAACTCTTAATGAAGAGTTAGCAGTTCAGACTCACAAACCGCTCCTCGGAAACCCTGTACAGGGTCAACAACAACAACTTTGGTTATAGTCTTAACATAGAGTACCTAAAGCATAAATCCCTCCCAGTTGAAGAAAAACAAACCTTAGAACCCCTTGCATTTTATGAGTTTCTAGACCCATTCTAAAGAAAGGGAGCCCCATTTAGATGCCTAGGAGAGTTTCTAGAATGGACTATTGGGCAGAACTGGGAAAGAGAATAATGAGGCCAGCATGATTTTCTTCCAGGTCCTGTATTCAATGCCTCTGTGCATTCAACCACACCATCAGTCATCCGGGGAGATCTGATCAAACTGGTCTGTATCATCACCATTGAAGGAGCAGCACTCGATCCAGGTATTTCTCTCCACTGGTTTTCTTTGCCACACATTGCTTTTTGCCAGCCTCACGGTGTTGCACAAATGGAGAAGACAGAGACTGGATTGTCTGTTTATCCTCAAACTGCCTCACCCCGTGATTCGTACTCAATGGAGGGTTCAGAAACACTTGAATGAATGCACTTATCTCTTAGACGAATTGGAAACATGTCCAAACATTTGAGTCTGAGTTGTCAAGGTGATCATGGACCCCTCTGGGGCTGTTTGAAGCTGGTGTGAAACCTAGTGGCAGAGTCCAACTTCTTCACTTGTGACTTTCATTTGTTTGTTGAGCTCCTTCTCTGCACAGATAACCATTCTAGATGTGGGGAAGACAAGACTGAATAAAGTGGGTAAAGTCTGCCCTCATGGAGTTTGCAAACTAGTTAGGGAAACAGAAAAGCAAGAAATTGCTTTCTTTTATCTGATAGTGATAAATACTATGAAGAAATACAGAGTAAAAGAGGAGCAAGTGACCAGAGGATGCAGTTGTAGTTAAGAGTTCTTTACAAAGTGTTTTTTTTTTCCTGCAGAAAGTACAAACATGGCCAACAGGACATGTAACAGTTGCATAGAGTAGCAGTTAGACACCTTTCCTGCTTGGCCTTCTTCAGTGACCAGTTGATGTCTGCCTCTCTCTTGTTCTTAGACCCTCAAGGCCTGAAAGGACAGTAAGCTCACTTAGTATAGCTCTAGTAAACATGTGTGGACCTTCCTCTGCCCTTTCCTGAAGACCCCGTGGAGAACCCACCTCACTCTCTAGGAACTGCCCTTCTCTCCTCTGCATACTCTGACTTTGGAGTCTCTTCTAACTACCCCATCCCATTGTAAGCGTAGCCAAGACTTCTCCTGGATTTGTACCTTAACAATGGCCCAAATGTGTAGGGTTAACAAAGTTTTGTGCAGACACTGCTGGAACTGTGGCCCTAGGATGGAAACTTGAAGCCAGGTTTCATTCTGAATGGAGAGCCAGGTTTTAAAGGATGACCTGCAGTGAAACCAGGTGAGCACTGTGAGGCATATCTGGTGTCTGGGGACCAGAGGCCAGGACCGTTCGGCTCCCGTAGGACCTCCAATTGAAGGTCACAATAAGGGGAAGCAGTTTGGGTGGCAGCTAGTTCAGGGATCAGCAACCCTTTTTCTGTAAAAATAATAAATATGTTTGGCATTGTGAACCGGAAGTTTTTTGTGGTGGCAACGTAGTTCAGCCATTATAAGGAGACAACAGTTGTGTGTAAGTAACATATAAATGAATGGTTGTGGCTATATTCCAATCAAACTTGATTTGGAAAACAGGCAGTCAACTTGATCTGACCTGTGGGCTGCAGTTTGCCAGCCTCTGAACCAGCTGATTGGTAGCAGACTGGGCTTTCTTAGAAAGCAGAACATCGGGGAGCTTCTGTTGTTGTTAGCTGCTGTTGAACTAGCTCTGACTCATGAGGACCTATTTATACAGTGATGTGAATGTTATCTGGTTCTCTTCCATCTTCACAACCATATTTGCTCCATTGCAGTACCTACTGTGTATTTTGACCCAGCATTATATCTGACAAGTGTTCTGTTGTGATCCACAGGGTTTTCATTGGCTAATTTTCAGAAGGAGATTACCAGTCCTTTCTTCCTAGTCTTTCAGTTAGTCCCACTCTGGTGACTTGCATGTTACTGCAATACTGGAAGGTATGCCACTAATATTTCAAATACCAGCAGGGTTATACAAGATGGAGAGGTTTCGGTGGCACTAACATTGGTGGTGGTGGTGGTGGTGGTGGTATGCCACCAACTTGGTTCCGATTCATAGCGAACCAATGTAGGTTTTCTGAGGGTATAAATCTTTACAGAAACGGAAAGCCTCATCTTTCTCCTGTGGAGTGACTGGTAGATTCGAGCTCTGATCCATGCGGTTAGCAGTTCCACTCCTAATCCACGACAGTACCAGGGCTGGCACTACAGGTTAATGCACTGGAGTGCAAGGTTGATTTGAACCGCAAGGTCAACAGTTCAAGCTCATCAGCTGCTCCTCAGAAATCCTATACAAGGTCGCTGTGAATCCGAACTAACTCCACGGCACTTCACAACAATCAGGGCTCCTTAGACTAAGACTAGACTAGGAAGAAAGAGGATAAGCTTTAAGGATAAGAAAAAGGAGATGAGTTTGTGGGGAAATACAAGTAAAGGAAAAGAAGAAAAACATCTGACGCATTTAGTTGGCCAGCTCCATTCATGGGGGTGTAAGCAATGAGGACCCCAAGTCTTGAGTGAGCTGCTTCTACTATACCTGAGGTGTGGAGGACTGAGGTTTCAGAAGTCAACATGAAGGTGAAATAGAGGAGACTACCAAGGAAAAAGTATGGAAACCGCTTTCAAAAGTTGGACTATCATAATAGCATTTTTATCCTTAAAGCTCATTTATGAGATATATATATAAATAAATCCTTCCCGTGTTCATTCTCAGTAAATTAGTCGGTCACCAGTTGTGCCCTTCATAGGAAAGGCTTTTCCTTTAGAGTAATAGCAAAAGTGATATGTAGCTGTTATCTTGCAGATCACAATTTTCCAGAACTTTGCCCTCTTGGACTGTGTGGGTAGAAGAATCTGAATAATTAAACACAAATTGTGAATTCATTTTTCCTCATGCATCCTCTGGGCTGTGAGGGAATTCTCTTTCTGAAAGGACATGTTGCATAAGTAGGCTGCATGCCAAAATGTGTCTATGCCGGGGTGTGGTGGGGTGAAGCAGATCATGGCCCTTTTGAGGAGGTGTCTGAGGTCAAGTTCTCTAAAAGCAGAGCTGGAGACAAGCGTGCACGTGATTAATTGAGGGACTGCTCTCAGGAGAAAACTCACAGGGAATGAAGGAACCAGGAGAAGCAGCCAAGCAGAGATATGAGTTCAAAACAAGCCCAGCTCCCCATAGGGAGCTCTGGAGCATGAATGGTACCCTGAGCTCTCATACCGCTATGTTAGTCAGTCATTGCCTGCAAGCTGAGTGACTAGACAGAGGGTGTTTCATACCCTCCAGGAGATGGCTTCTGTAGCTAAGGGCAAGCCTCTAGGGAAGGGTGTAGAAGAAGACAGCATTGCAGCATGGTGCTCGGAGTCCCAGCGGTTTGGGTGGGGCAGCACATTCTAACTAGTGTAAGAGGTGATGCCCTTCCTGTTAACAGTCGTTGTCTGGTAGAAGGCCTGTATAGTGATGTTCATGGCAGCCAGCATTTATTGAACACTTACTACATCCCAACCTCTGTTGTAAGCATTTTGTAAATGTGATTCGTTTCATCCTGGTTACCATTGTTATTTTCATTTTACAGATGAAGAGACTTAAGTCACAGTGAATGTAAGTGACTCAGCTGCCTAATAGGGGGAGGTGTGGAGTGCTACCCCAGCACCAGGAACCTAGTATGATGAGCTGGAGGGAGTTACGGACTGTCAGAGAAAGATAGGATCATGAGATAGCAGTGCCACACAACAGACTGTTGAAACATGCCTTGAAGTTTGCATGTGGGGGGCAATCCCCTCCTCCCAGCCAGTGTATGAGACACTCCAGACACAAACAGTGCAGGGAGCCACTGGGAGAAGAGGACACAGGAACCCCCCAGAAAAGGAATGGAAGAAGGGGAGCTTACATGCATCAAAGTAGTGTCCCTCTGCAGCAAGGCAGGCGTCTCTGGGTCAGAGAATTCCAAAGAGCAGCACAGATATTGGGTGCAGTTCCCTGGGGCATGTGAAGCAGGCAGGCTTTAAAATATCTGCTTATTTGGACTATTTTTAAAACAATGGGGTATATGAAAATTTGAGTCTACCCAGCGAGTTATGAGTCAGCCCCAGCCTGTTATAAAGAAATAAACAACTTATGACTACATACTCAAAGGCCTTCTTTGGTGCATTTCTACTAAACCTGGGCACTGTTCCTAGAGGTGCCTCAGAAGAAATGCCTGGCATTCTACATCAGAAAAATCAACTGTTGAAAACCCTGTGGAACAAAGTTTTACTCAGATACATAACGGGGATGCATGAGTTAGAACAGACTCGATGGCAACTGGTTTTCCCGCACTGTAGGTCACAGTGTGGGGATCAGGGGCTAGTGTCCAGGTACAAGTAATGGAGCACACAGTTAGCTTTCATTGGCTGCATGATAGCAATCTGGGACCATCTCCCACCCCCTCTACCCTCAAGTTTGTTTTCTCAGCAAGAGAAGAAAACAATGCTCAAGGCACAAACCAAAACATTGTGTGGGCATCAGAGTAGAAAGCTGTCATCTTGTAGGTGGTAGTGAAATTTACCTGTAGTCCTTAATGGTTTTGTTTTTTGTATTTTTTTTTTTTTTTACAGTGGGTGGACAAGGAATCATTTGGGTGATTTTGCTAGAAAGAAACTTGCTTTTCATTTTGCTCACATTCTTTTTAAATAAGCATTAGCATCTGAAAATAATCTGTTTGCTTTACAATGTGCTGTTTGGAGTTCTTAGTGTACTTTTACTACATGAATAAATGTTAGTTTTTGTTTCATAAAAACTGGGCAATTTAGTATGTATGTAAAAAGCCTTGCCAAGTGAATTGTGGATACATCGAAGCTTTTGGCCTTGTCCGGCTTTTTTGACTGCTGGATATACCTCAGAGCTGACGTATCTGATATCAGCTGGTACCAATACAGAGAATGTTCAGGGGCTTTGTTTCCACATTCTAAGAGAACCACCACTCATGCCAAAGGCATCCTTTTCTTATGCCCATATTAATTTATTTGAGGCTTTTAGAACCTTAATATTGCAGAGTACTTTACGATTCAACAGCAGTACTCTCTGGGACTGTTAAACAGTGTTCAATTTTCTCAGCTTGACATTTTTTTCCTCTTGTTTTGAACTTAAGCACTTCTGCAGAGGGGGAAAAAAAAACCCATAGTGAACATTAAAATCTAAACTATTTACCACTGTAAATTTGTGTAATCCATTTTATGCACATTTTGTTCTTTGGGACTTCCGTGCCCTTCTAGCCTTAAGTTTTTCTGCCTGAAATGTCAAATGACCTTGCTTTGTTTGAGAGAGAGAATATGTGAAGTCACTACTGATAAGCTTTACATTTTGCTTTATCTGCAGGAGATATTTTTTGGCTCTAACACTTCTTCCTCTGATTCTTGAGAATGGTTGGTGGGAATGAAGTGGTTTGGAGGGAGACTGTGGAGCTAGGCTCCTGGGTTAAGCTACAGTCAAGCTGTGTGACCTTGAGCAAGGTATTTAATCTCGCCATTGTGGAAGTCCTGATGTGGTGCTGTGGGTTAATGTTCTGGACCGCAAAGTCAGCTTGAACCACAACGTTGGTGGTTCAAACTCACCAGCTGTGCCTTGGAAACCCTGTGCAGGGTTGCTATGAGTCAGAACTGATTCGGCAGCATACAACAATTGTTGTGAAATGCCATCGAGTCGTTTCCAACTCATAGTGACCAAGGCTGAAAATCTTTACAGCAGCAGAAAGCCTCCGTTTTTTCCTGAGGAGCAGCTGGTGAACTCTATCCACCATCTTTGTGGATAGCATTTCAGTGCTTATCCTATAGAGTCACCAGTGCTGTCATTGTTGTTAAGTGCTGTTGTTTTGGTTCCAACCCATAGTGGCCCTGCATAGGGTTCCAACCCAAAGAGCAGCTGGTTAGCTTGAACTGCCGACCTTGTGATTCAAACCGACATTGCAGTCCAGTGCATTAACCCACAGCGCCACACCAGGATTCCAGTGCTCTCATAGAGTGGGGATAATAATACTCACTACCTTTATCATCGGAGGAGTCCTGGTAGAGGTGGTGCAAATAGTTAAGTGCTTGACTACTAACCCATAGGTTGGTTGAGTTCGAATCCATTCAAAGGCACCTCAGAATAAATGTCTGCTGGGCTATTTCTGAAAAATCAGATCTTGAAAACCCTATACAACAGAGTTCTGCTTTAATACACAGTGGGGTCGCCATGAGTCAGAATGGTACTTGGTAAGGCAGATGAACAGTGGCAGCCCATGTTGTGGATAGGTGCCATGGAATCAGTTCTGACTCATAGCAGCCCCGTGCACAGCAGCATCAAATGCTACCTGGTCGTGAACCAGCCTCACAGTTGTCACATATAAGCATTTTGTTGCAGCCATTGTATCAGTCTGTCTTGTTAGGGGTCTTCCTCCTTTTTCCTGACTTTCTACTTTACCAAGCATGATCTTCTCCAGGGACTAGTCTCTCCTGATAATGTGTATTAAGTACAAGAGATGAAGTCTCACCATCCTCACTTCCAAGAAGCAATCTGGTTGTACTTCTTCCCAGACACATAGACATCTTCAGAAAGTTTGTGTGAAAATGGAATTAAAAGATGATGGGATATTTCCATGAACTTTGTTGCAGCCCCCTCATAAATATGGTAGCCATTATTGTGCCTGCCCAGTATACTGACCTGAGGATTTTGTGTTTGGTCATCAGATGACATGGCCTTCGATGTGTCCTGGTTTGCGGTGCACTCCTTCGGCCTGGACAAGGCTCCTGTCTTCCTGTCTTCCCTGGATCGGAAGGGGATTGTGAACACAGCCCAGAGGGATTGGAAGAGCGAACTCAGCCTGGAGCGCGTGGGTGTGCTGGAATTCTTGCTGCAAGTGCATGGCTCCGAGGACCAGGACTTTGGCAACTACTATTGTTCCGTGACTCCATGGGTGAAGTCACCAACAGGTTCCTGGCAGAAGGAGGCAGAGATCCATTCCAAGCCCATCTTTATAACTGTGAAGATGGATGGTAAGAATGACACGCCAATATTTCTGTCAGTGTTGGCAAAATGTCTTCTCTCTCTGCTATAGTGCAACTAATAGAATCCAGGTTTCCACAGTATGAGGAATATGCCTCAACACATCCTAATTTCTCTCTAAACCAGCCCTGGGCTGCACCCAGAAAGACCACAAACAGCTCTGGCTGTTCTCACAGTTTGGGCATTGTCTTCTGTTGGCACCACTGGGAAATGATTGGAAAGACTATTGATGCCTTGCCTCTTCTGTAAATTCCATGCAAACAGACTTTATTCCATCCTAGGGTTGGTGTGGATTTGGCCAGGTAGAAGGAGAACAGAGTTGAGAGAGAAGGGTTCAGGTCTTCGGGTGAGGATGTAGAATGTGCACTTAAGTACTCTTATCTTCCTACTGTGTGTGCTTCTTGCAAAAGAGAGGTTCTCCCGTAATGGACACCTCATAGAATCCCGAGATGAAAGGGTAAACTCCCAAAATAACTAAAGTCAACCTAAGTAGAAGGTCTGAGGTCCGCTTCCCACCCCTTAGGTCCCTGAGCATTCCAGAATGGGGACAATGCTTCCTTAAATAATGAAACGTAGCTCTTCTGCACAAAAAGCTTTAGAAAGTGGATGTTAACGAAAATCGTTCCCTCGAGAGAATAAACTCCAGATGCCTCCAAGGATTCGTAGAAGTCTTTTGAGTTTCTTTCCCTCACGAGACATCCATGTGGGGAAGACCTGAATTAAAACTCCACCTCTTCTGCAGCTTGCAAAGCTTTTCTGAGTCTTAGTTTCCTCTCCTATAAAACAGGGCTAGAAATCCCTCATGGGGCTGTTGTGAAAATTAAACTGTATTACAAGTAAAACCCCTCACACAATGCCCTACCTCCATCCAAGAGACATAGGCAGCTGTGGAGGAAAGATGGTGGGACTTTGGCCTTGTGGGACCTGCATGTGCGTGGTGACTGCTTGAAACATAATCGTGGACACCATCTCTGCATCTTAGAAATTCCTACATGAAGTCACTCCATACGGAAACCCAGATTTCACTAAAACAAGTAAGGGAGTGATTCTTTATATTGCTACATAATTTACCGTCCCAGTCAAATCTACTGTCCTCGATGCAGTTCTGACTCACAGTGACTCCATAGGACAGAGTAGAGCTGCCCCCTAAGGTTTCCAAGGCTGCCTGTAAATCTTTATGGAAGCAGAATGCCTTATGTTTTTACCCCAGAGCAATTTCTGGGTTCATACTGTAGATCTTTCTGTTAGCAGCCGAGTGCTTTAATCACTGCACCACCTGGCTCCTTTAATTTACTGTGTTGTTACTTAAAATAGCTCCTTTAGTACACTTCAGCTATATGGATGCCTATAATTGACTTGTGCACAGTCTTTGTAAGGATGCATCTGCCTCTGAATATGCGGTGCCCTTATCCTGACTTTTAAAAATCCATCTCCTGCCAAAACCCTAAAAAGCAAGTTGACATTCAAAAGCATCAAATGAGATTGTTTTTTTCTTTTCTTTTCTGAGTTCCCCTCCCACCCCAAGAACTGGGTGGGGAAACACTTGCTCATTTTCTTCAGCAGCTATAGATGAGCTGCTCCCGTCTCAAGCGCCGTCCGCACTAGACACAGAATAAAGGGTGAATGAGACCAGTCCCTTGGGCAGATCCCATCCAGTGGGTGGGGAAGGGAGCCTGTGACCTCTGCCCTGACCCGGCTTCTCCTTTCATCCCACCTTCCCAGTGTTGAACGCCTTCAAGTACCCCCTACTGATCGGCGTCGGTCTGTCCACTGTCATCGGCCTCCTGTCCTGTCTCATTGGCTACTGCAGCTCCCACTGGTGTTGTAAGAAGGAAGTCCAGGAGACGAGGCGTGAACGCCGCCGGCTCATGTCGATGGAGATGGACTAGACCAAGGGACGTTTCTAGAAGCAATTTGGGTGAGAAGAGGACAGTGATTGTTTTAAAGTGTGAAGTGTGTTACACTCATAACCAGTCCTCTCTAATCTCAGGTGGGACTTGGCGCTCTCTCTTTTCTGCATGTCAAGTACGGAGCGCGGACATGTTTACCAGCACACAGCTCTTCTTCCCACAGCACTTTCTTAGAGAACAATCGAGTGTGTGTTTTCCCAGCTGCGGCTTTTTAATGGTTAACCTTCGTCTCATTTTTTTCTCCTACTGGTTTATAGGTCCTCTGACTTCTGCGTGTGTATATCTTTGTGTTGTGAGGGGTTGCGGTGAGGAAGGGGGTGACGGCATTCGGAATTATTTGTCTGGAGTGAGAATGGGGGGAAGCCGTATGCTCAGAGAGCTGCTAGAAGCGACCCTCTACCTGGGCTGAGTCAACCCAGACCTGTGTTGGAAGCTAATTTGTGGCTTGTAGTACCCTGCCCCACCCCTATTTTCAGGGGTCTAGACTATATTTGAAATCTAAACGTGCAGTATGTAACTTCTTATTGAGCCCAAATGCATTTATTTTAACTCCTTTGCCCCCTTCCCAGTTCTTTTGTATTTGTATCCTGCGAGAGTGCTGAAATGGCGGCCCTAGGATCTAGAATCTGGCTCTCCACCGAGCACCTTATCTCGCCACCTTAGCCTTAAGAATGAATACGAAGAAAAATGCACAGTCACTTCTGTCCAGGGCACTGAGAAGGTCAGCAAGAAGGAGGGAGGGGTTGGGGACAAGGAAAGGAACAGATACGCATTCCCATAGTTCCAAGACTTTTGTGTCTCAGGGGACTCCAGGAAGCTAGCAAGAGGGATCCTGGAAGTTAGATTTTCACAGCTTGTGCTAGGGGACAGTGGTGTTGGGGCATGTTGGGGCCAAGAAGTCACCTCCATCCAGCTCTTCTGCCCCAGGAACTTCCAGGAACCCCCACTGGCACCTCACACCCTTCTTGTGCTGCTTGGGCTCCTTAACATGAAGGCAAGTTGTTGCTCGCTAGACTGACTTCAAGGAATCAGAAATTGCATAGACAAACCATGCATTTCCTCTCACCTTTTCAGTCCTTCAAGTCTTTTTAGGACACCCTGCAGGGGGTTAGCGAGAAAGGGTGTATTTTGTGGTACGTTGGCTTTCCTATCAGAAACATAAATGAAACCTAGCAATTTATTGCCATGTGAACAGCCTACAAAGTCAATCTGAGAGCATCTATTCTACCTGACTGCGCCTATTAGGAGTAGGTCAGCGGGCAAAGTAGCTTTTCCACAGCCCCGGCTTGTTTTGCTTTAAAAGTGCTCCCAGGGGAGCCTCTTGCTTCTGGGGTGGCTCACCAATTCCCCCACCCTCCACCCACAGCACAACAGCACTGGCCTTTGGGAAGCATCCCAGTGGGGTTTCCGGGGATTCACTGTTGACTCATGCCCTACATTTCAGTCTTCTGTGCTTTGATCCTGGCTGTGAAGGATCTAACACTGCTCTGTCTTCCAAAAGGGAAAAAGATTCGTTGTTTTTGAGCAATAAAACAATGCACAATGATGGCCATTCCCATGCAGCTCTTTGTCACATTGACCAGATGATCCTCGCTGGTTCACTGTCCTCCCCTCAGTTCCCCTCATGCTGCTGCCCCTCACCAGTTCCACACAGACCACCGAATCACATTCATGAGGCAGATAGCCACCGAGATTTCTCTTTGGTGTTGGCCACTGTGACCACCATCCAGGTGCTGTAAGTTCTAGATTCTGTGCTGACAATAGCAGCGCCAGTGAAAGGTCTGTGTGAGAGGCAGGCAGCAGACATGCCCCATGGAGAGATGAGTGGGAGGAGGAAGAAGGCCTGGCAGTACTGGATTTTGATATTTTCTACATGTCATTTGCCAGCTATGCCATTTCTGAGGAGGCGAGTCATACATGGTTGCACAGAGGGGGTTTAAAGCGAGGACAATTATAAACAGCTACTGTCTTTAGTAACAGCCAATGCATGAAGATTCCAGATTGTTGTGGCAAAGACCCTTCATAGTAGGAGAAAAAGGTACTTAGCTTTGGATGGGCCCAGGTAGCCCCAGCTGTAGGTAAAAGCATGGACTGGGTTACTCTAGATATTCAGTGGTGGTAAAGGTAACATGTTCACATGGTCTACCTTTTCCTTTCAAACAGATGATGGAGTTCAAAGCTGGAATTAATAGGGCAATGACCCATCCCACTGTTTGTCCATTGGGCAGAGCAAACTGCCAGTCACCTGGAGGGAGAGGGAGATGTATATCCCAGGGGGTTGTACAGAGAGATCAACTTGCCTGGAATGTGTGTCTTTTTATAGTGTGAGATGCACTCTTTTGTCGTACCAAATAGGGCTCCCCTGCAAGTACTTCTCTGGAACATCTCCAGAAGTACCAGTGTGAATGAACTAAGGGCCCCAGCACGATTCGCCTGGATGAAATTGCACTTCTTAGCATAAAGAAACTAAATGTTTAGGCTGGTTGTTTTTTCGCCCCCTAATCAAAAAATCTTCCCAGAAGAGATCCTAAGCTATGTTCAAATAGAAGCCTCAAAATTATTTCCAATTGTCTACTTTATGATGTTTACAGACACTTTTCACTTTTCTAAAAAAAAAGAAAAAGAAAAACGCAAATGCTGCCTTTTGTTGTTGTTGTTAAACAACTTTTCAGATTTTTCATGGGACAGTGGGACTCTGACTCACCAACTGGATTTAAATCTTAATTGAGACATTTATTTAAATATGCCTGCTTTTCTCCCTCCTATCCACATGGCTTTTCCTAGGATCCTGGTAAAGGAGGTCCCTCCTGCCCTGTCTGCTCTCCCTGGTGGCTCTTGCTTCTTGCTTTGCAGACTGCCTGCAGCCATGATTTCTGTTACTGACACCTGTGAGCCAAAGACTGAGCCTTTTTTTGGCAAGAATAATTAAGCAATACTCCACGACTTGATACTTTCAGAAAACTTTTTTTTTTTTTCCTTTTAAAAAGCTTCACCGATGACAACAGAGGAAGAAGGGAACTGGGATTTGGGTAAGTTCTCCTCCACTGTTCGACCAAATTCTCAGTGATGGACATTACGTGCAGATCACTAGGAGAAAAAACGTTAACTTTCTTCCTTTTTTTTTTTAAGTGTGTCACATACGGATCTATAGAATTTTACATAGACAAAGAAAAAAGGGTCTTGTGTATTTTTGTCTATATCCAATGTTATCTGAACTAATTGTATTTGTTTTATACTGTGACCACAAATATTATGCAATGCACCATTTGTTTTTGTTTTGTTTTTCTTATTTCATTAAAGGAAATTTAATTTAAATTGAAGTTGTGTGAGGAGCATGGTGTTGGCCTCTCGTCATTTCATCTCTTCTGTGTGAGGGTCTGTGGCTGAATTCTAGTTGCAGCTTTAGTAGCCGCTGATCTCTCAGAATCTTATCAAACCATTAAGATAAAAGAAGAAATGGATTTCATGTGGATTGGTGGTGAGGTTCCCACCAAACAGAAAAGTGAGGTCTAGGATCCTGTTGATTATGGAAGGCCTTTCATTCTTTTGTTGAATTCTCATAACCTTAGAGGTCTCCTCTCAGGAAAGAGCAGTTAAATAGGGTTCCTCTCTGTAACTGGATTGTGACTGGAACAGAACAGCTCTCCTGACTCATGACCCAATCTGGAGCCAAATCAGACCAAGAGGTGCCAGCCCTGTGGGATATACATATCCTCTTCCTCAGTCTGTTGTACCAGCCGTCCTGAGCAGCAGGGAGCAGTGGGAGCCTGACTCTGCTGGTCTCTGGACAGCCACTGACTGTCCTGTTGGCCTTGTTTATGTTCTTTGTCTTTTGTGTCTTAGGCAAGGACCACTTCATGTTGAGGGTTCTTCAAGGGCTACGGGCTTGGACCTGGTCACTAACATTCTCCAGTGATTGGCGCTGTTCCTGGCATGTAGCAAACACTTGGAGTTGGGAATGCACAGTGAATGCTCTCCTGTCAGAAATGACCCATCCTTGCACGTTTCTCAATGAACCAGGAGGGTTCTGCCCATGTAAAACACGTTGTCAGAGTTGTTTTTGAGAAATGCCCTATCTCTCAAAGAGCCCTTCGCCACCTCAATTTAAAGTGAACACAAAAAACTGTTTGTACATTAACTTTGTACCTCCGGTATTGTGCCAAGCATGGGGAAACTGCAACTTGCTCGCTGACCTTGGCACATACTGTTTGCCTAGAAACCTCTCTCCATCCATCACACGTATCTTTCAGGTTCCAGGAAGTCTTTCTGCATTTCAACTGAATGAGGATCCCCTGAGAGGTTCTCTGATAGTCCAGAAGGGCTGTGATGGCAGGTACTGCTCCCCACTGTGGCCTACTCGTGACAATAGCTAACCATGGGATTCTTACAATGTGCTATGTAGTGAAGTGAATACCTCATTAGTATCGTCCCAGTCTTCAAGCCATCCAGGTGACTTGGATGACAGAAACTCTCAACTGTCCTCTATACACCTGAACTGTCCAAACAGCAGCCACTCCATTTCCTCTAATCCATGGACCAATGAGCATGGTAGCAGTCACTGCTTGGGGAACCTACACCACTCTGGCACCTGAGTGTCTCAGCTCTACCCATGAAGGTGGTGCTCATCCTTTCTCTCTGTTTATTCTTCAACCTGTTTATGCCAACAGTACTTATTAGTGGGCTTATATAAAGTAATTAAATAGTATGCAAACCAATGAAATATGAAAGGCAAAGCAAAAGGTGTTGATTAAAAAAACTAAGAAGAATTCTCTAGAAAGGAAATTGAAATAAATAGAAGCAAACTGCTGTTTTGTTTTGTTTTGTTTTCCAATGAAAATGTTAGTGATTTAGATAGGGATAAGATAGCTGTAAAGATTAAGGGAGAAACAATTTTTTAAAAACATGGACAGACAGCCTCTGTACTTAGTTGACTTTACAGATGTTTTTAAATTCTTATAACTTTTAGAAAGAAATCAGACTTGAGTGTTGTAAAGAAGACATTCTAGGTTTGGCTTTTTGGAAAAAGCTTGATAGGAGATTCCAGGCAACAGACCCAGACACAAAGGAAAGACGTGAGCCTACATCAAGAGATGGGTGAATGAAGGTACATTTAAATGGCTTATGTGAAAATAAAGTGTTTAAAATGCATGAGTCTCTTTATGATTCCCTACTTTCCATGACATTTTCTATTAAGTGGTCACCTAACAGCCCTAATTATGTCAGATAAGAGTCGATATTCCACTATTATTGTTCACATTCTTACAGATGAGGATATTGAGACATCAAGAAATTGCTCAAGATTTGAAATCAGGTGTTTCTGACTCCAAAGCCTGTGAAGGGTCTAAGCCACAGTACCTGGATATATTAGGTCTTGTGCGCCGGGGTTCAAAAAGTTTGTGGAAAAATTTAATTGAAAGATAGTGGGATTTTTTTTTTTTTTTT